TCCTGACATTTCGGATTTTCACTCGAATCCATCACCAACGACAGAGTGAGCTACGGGTATTGGATTGCCCAGGTGTTGCAGTATTTATAGGATGTAGTTGCTAAGCCGCAACATGCCTATCAGAGTTGGCAGCTGCTGAGTGCATCACAGCTCAACTGGCCAAATGTTGAAGCATGCAGTTGCTATGCCGTTACTACGCGTCGATATTATCGGCTGCCAGGCTTATCGCACGCTGCCGAGTGGCTGACTGCCGGATTTCGTCATGCGTTTGGACTCTTGGGTGATTTGGCAATAGTCTTTGATGGCTTGATGATGGGTCCAAGCAGGAATGCGAAATGCCAGGCCAATTAAGCCCTTGTTCGGCCGATCACGACTGCTTCCTGCGACTCCGCTCTTGGCATCTGTTGGCAGCTGAAGGTAGTCTGCGAAGCAGATGGTACGAATGGGCTAACCAACACAGCGCGTGACGTCATGTAGCTCTTATAGGATCCACCAAACAGGGCCGACTGTAGGCAATAGAGTAGGTAGCTATGTGTACGATGTGGATTTGAAAACCAGAACTCGAATCCCTACCTCAATTTGCGAACTCCTGCTATGCTATAAACCCCACAAATGTTACTCCTGCCCAAGAACAAACCATGATTCCATGCGTGGAAGTACGCGTTGCAATTTTCAACCTGTGCGTTTCTAACCTACACACTTTAAAACAGACGGTGTGTGACGTACAGCCGCAGAATTACCTCAACTCCAAACCACCACCTATGGTATAAATCAAGCTTGAGGGAAGAGCTAGCGTAATTCGGAGCACCTGCGGCTGCGAGCCTTCAGTGAAGACCGTGCTGAGAGTGTGTCATCCTTTTGTCACTGGGTGGATACCCCTATGCTAGACACGCAACTCGAGCGCGACTCCAATCTCTACGCTGGAAACTCCACCCATCCACCCCTCCTCCCTCCCACCCTCCGAACCAGATGAGAAGTTTTTACTGCCAAGCGATGCACCTAGGCTTGCATGGGACTGCTCGTGGCTAAAAAGTCGTTTGTGATTGATTTGTCTAAACCTAATCAAATCAGAGCACCATTTTTTATGACGTAATGCAGAACTGCAGATGTGCAACCAATTTCCGGGGTAATGTTGTGCCACGCGTTGAGGCAAATGCTGCGCAAGTCTACTACCAGTATAAGCTAAATCATTTTGTAATGGCAGTCGTGCAGTCAGCACTGAATTGTCGGTCATTCCGACTTGGAAGTCTTCCACTGTAGTCATGGAGTCGCGCTCTTAACGTTCTAGACTTCAGGATAGGTAGGTAACCGAGCCGACCTTGGAGCTCCAAACTAGTTAAATGTTTAAGTTTTCCGCAGTATTGAAGTTAAGGCAAACAAATGCAGCCTGCTCTATGCTCTCGCAACAGCGCTCCATACCTTTTCTATTTATGGATACCTTTGACTAGACGACTGTCGACTAAAATCTCTGCATCCAAGAAATCCTGCAATTGCGCTAGTACTGGACAAACCCTGGTCCCTAAAGATATCTCCTGACTGTAGGCTGCAAAATACGCACTATCCTGTCAATATGGCGTATTTACAGGAACTTCTGATGGGTTCTGTTTTTTGAGGGCAGGATTGGTCTGGGGACGAAGACTGACTGGTGTGCAGAATAAAAAAAATCATCTGAAGACGATTATCGGATCTGACACAGTTTCGGACAAAATAATTACGTCAGAGAAACCAGAAGACTGCTCAGAACTGGAATGGCCGAACACACGGCGGCTGTTTGTGAATATTGCGGGCAACCATAACGCAATGAGGGTAACATTCGTTATGGCATAATACAGAGCTGCAGGTTTGCAACAGGCTTCCTATACGTCTAAAACTGAAGTCTGATGGCTTACAAGGATTCTTGACGTTTTTGAAATTCTCCAATTCTAAAATCTTCATATTTCTAAACAAA